CTGAAAAAAAAAAAAAAAAGGCTTAGAAAATGTATAAAATATCTAGTTGTGATAATAGCAGACGAGAGGTTGTTTTATTAGAAACACTAAGTTATTAAGAACGTTCGAAGTTGATATATCATCCCCTGGCTACATTTAGTTACACACTTGCTGTATTATGCTGTTACCTTAAAGAAGATGTGGATAAATCGACACAGTAGCAAATAGATTAAACTCACTTTGACTGTTCAGTTTCTTTTCAAAATATAATACTAAGCTTAATTTTACTCAAATTAAAAAAATTTCCAAGCACTTTCCAGTGAAAACACACATACCAAAGTAAAAGGTAAAATTAGGCACACAAAAAGAAATGTTAGTTTAGCACAGATATAAAATCTGTGTTAATCTTAGATTTCACAATTTTTGGAATATGATGGAATCATCTGATTTGGACAGAAATCTAATTTCCCATTTTGCTGAAGAGAACTATGATCATAAAACTATCATACTTTTTCACAGCTTCTTCTTAATTACCGCTCATTAACGGCCAAGAGGTCACTAATAGTTCGAACCGAGCTCACATCTCAGCAATTTAACCCCTGCAAGGATGTTTTCGTTGTTTTCCCACGTGTAGCGTGAATACAATAAAATTTTCTATGAATGCATCTCTTTCCTTAGGTCAGCATTTCTCAAATATTTCTCAGGTGGAGACAGTGTTATCAAACTAGAATATTTTTCGGACTGCCTTACTCTCGTTTCCTTCGGAAGCAATTTTTAGTAAATATATAATTATATTTTTAAAATACACTGTGCAAAAGCAACAAATTCATTTTTCAACATACAACCATGAAATTGCTGAAAAAGGGCTTTTTTACGATCAGTATAAAGAAAAGCCAGCTCAATATCATGTACACTGCTCGCCATTAAAATTGCAACACCATAAAGGAAAGCAAATACAAAAAAAAGATATTTATTATACGTAAATAGTATGGCATGAAGACAAAATGATTAAAGCTGTAAGCAATTTGGAAGTTTACAGGGGTACGAAAGTAGTAGAAACAGCTGCCACCCCTGGGAACTAAAACGGACCTTACCCGGTTAGGCACGGAGTCGAACTGGGCTTGGATGACAGAAATGAGCAACTCATTCAATGCTGCTTCAAGACTATGCCCCACTTCATCAACCGTTTTAGCTGGAGAGGGTTGGCGGGCCAATCTCTCAGCAACAATGTTTCAGGGTGAGAGATCGGGAGACTGTACAGGCCAGGGCAGCAGTTGAATACCCTGTGTATCGAGGAAGGTGAGAACACGACGTGCAACATGCGGTCTTTCATTATCTTGTTGGAAGATGGCTTTTGGCAGGCCTCGAAGATAGGACACAATCACTGGACGTAAGATGTCAGAAATGTACCGATCTGCATTCAAATTACCGTCGATCCGAACTAGAGATGTGCGTGTCGTGTACCCAATGGCTGGCCAAACCATCACACCAGGTGCAGGTTCCTATGAAGATATCGAATTCAAGCAGGCGACGTGCAATCTCCTCTGAGCCTCCAGACACGTACACGGCCATCATAATACCGCACACAGAACCGGGACTCGTCTGAAAAGACGACGTTGTGCCACTCCTGTATCCAGCTTTGTCGTAGTCGCCGTCTCTCGTCTCTGTATTGTCAAAGAAAACCCAACGTAATGGCCGGCGTGCTGATAGTCCATGCTGCTGCAAACGTCGACGCACCGTACGAGGAGATACTGGACGAGTGCAAACATGTCCATTTCCTGACTAATGATCCATGATGTGGTTGTACGATTTTGCAGGGCTGACCTCACAAAATGTCTGCTCTCTCCGGTGTTGGTCATGGTTGGGCGTGGAGATCCTACAAGCCGTTCAGTATGACCCTCAGCAACCCATTGATTCCATATTCGCATGACAGTAGCTCGATGTCGATCAGTGCGACGGGCAATATCACGGAACGATAATCCACACTTCCGATATGCAACGATCCTGCATCTATCAAATTCTGACACTTTCTGGTAAGCATTTCGTCTTCTTATTCGAGGCAGAACACTATATTTTGAGTAAACTCCGACCTTACAAAGCGCTTTCCGAACAAGAAATCCACTACACAACGTTTTTTTTATGCAGTGCTTCAGATGTCGCTTCTCCGTCCTGCGTCGTCTAAAATGCGCTGAAATACTAATCATTTGCATATCCCAACCTCTTCTCGCTTTCGTGTAATTTTGAGGTTCCTCAGATCATTCCTTCCTGGTGTTGCAATTTTAATGGCCAGCAGTGTATATGCAGATATCACTTCCATGACATCAGACAACGCCAAACGCGAGAAGTCCGCGCGCTAAGTGTGTTTTATGTTATTATACTTTCCTCATCTTGAGCCTTTGCAGTATAGATTTCATGTCTCCCAACTGAAATTTTGCAGAATTACTGCCGAAATAAAAAAAAAAAAAAAAGCTGTTCAAGTTTTTCACACTAGTATAGAATTTATTTAAAATTCATTTAATTTTATATTGGTACCGATAAATACGTAAAGCTGTATTTGTTTTTAATAATTCAAGGCTGTTAAAGTTTGGCTAATGCTTATCTTATTAACTAAAGATTAAATAAATATTAATGACATAGGTGGGCCTACCGATTCTTGCACAGTTGTTCTATGTTCAGATGTATGTTGGTAAGCTTAGATCTGAAAGTGTCACTTAAATTGAGTTGATTTCGATTCTTAGGTTTTATCTGAGTTAGTGATGAAGACGGTTTAGTAGCCAGTTGAAAATAACACTAGCGCACAGGGGAAAAAATCATTGCTGGATGGGTAATAGGTAGTTTGTATATTTTAGTCGCAGTCCACTCAAAATTATTCTTAATTATCTTTTGATAACCTAGAACAAAGATTTGAATTATTAATTTGCTTTACAAAATTTTAAGCTACTGGATGAACCGCAGAAATGTAGATTTTAACAAAATGTTTATGCACTCTGTCACACACACACACAAAAAAAAAAAAAAAAAAAAAAAAAAAAAAAAAGAAAGAAAGAAACTGTGCACCCAGAAGGAAATGAACTACTTTTACGAAACTTAACATGTATGCAATGTATAAGGAGATAAATAAATGAGTATAAATTCAGAACAAAGGATTGTTTTATTAAGAAGTTTTGGCATGAAAAATGTTACAAATCAGTAAGTGGTATAGCTACCCCTCCGACACCTATACAAGTCTAAACACGGCGTGGCATCGAATCAAGTAGGCCACCTAGGACCCCCTGCGGAAGATCATGCCATATACTTTGAAAATAGGTAGTTATTTCACCAATATTCAGGGACGGCTACAGTTACCTTCCAAGCATGTCCCAAACGAGATCCATTGGAGAGAGGTCTGGTGACCTGGCAGGCCACGGAAGTACATCATTTCCTTGAAGATATTGTTAGGAGAATTGCACAGTATGTGGATAAGCGTTGTCTTGCTGATAAATGACATCTGGGCGACTTGATAGCATAAGCAGTACAACCGGCATTAAAATGCAGGCAAAGTAACTACGAGCTGTCATAGTTCATTGAAGTACGACTAGAGGCGATCGTGTGTCCCAATAAATTGCTCGCCACACTGTTCACCTTGTGTAATCGCCGTATGCGGATGGACAACAAATGCCGGATTGGATCGTTGGCCTGGCCGCCTCCACATGCGTGTGCGTTAATCATCAGCATTAAGACTGAATCGGGATTTATCGCTGAAGATCACACGTCTGTTGTAATGATGAAAGGGTTGATTGGGATAAAAAGTTTGAGAACCTCTTATCTAGGCTTTGCTAGTGGCAATAGAACGAAGGGAAATGTTTCATCACCTGATTTGTGGGTTAACTTATCTTTGAAAACAGAAAAATCTGAGTTACTTAAATCGAGAATAAACAGAAATTGCTAAAGTTTCGACTGCACACGTGTTTCTAATATTCTTATTCATTATCGCCAAATATATCCGCCTATGTACAGCATCATTAAGAACACTTATTTATTCTTCCAAAGACTTTACATGAACTGAGCTTCTCCCTAAATAATCGGTTTCCAACAGAACTGAACCCGCGTATTTTTACTCACTTTAAAAATGAGTACCGAAACATTTTTCCATTTCAGTATGAATTTAAATTATATATTTAGTTTAAACTTTAAACATCTACGAACTTACTTTTAAATTTCAAAATGTAAAGTAAAAACAACTAACTTAAATGTAAAAGTTAGGTGCAGAAAAATGATCGAAATTAAAGGCTTAAAAAAAAATCAATCAAAGTAAATGAACAACTTACCAAACAATTTAGAAATGTATTATAAAATAAAACAGAATGCACAACATGAGTTACATTTAGACGGAAATATTCTATATACAAGAAGTTTTAAAAAGGAATTAATAAGCAATCTATGAATGCAGCTTTAAAGAGGTCACTTAACATGTAAAAATTCAATGTCCAGATACCTCGTGCACTTTTAATACAGACAATAAGAATCAAACAAGGTGAAAACATTTAAAACCCAAAAACACTGGAATTTTGAAAACTGAATTGCAATAATTTTTGAAAATTTCTTTAAAAATATATATAATGATCCGGAAATGAAGTATTTGAAATGTACATTTTAATCAGTTATTTTAAAAACATACCCGTGAGTAAAAATCTTGCTCTTTTATAAATAAATACCATATTACGTAGGAAAGTAAATAAATAAATGAACACAAATTTTTAAAAAATCATAATCTTCATAAAAAATATTAATTCGCAAAATAAATAAAAACTTCTTTTCAAAATAAATAAATAAATAGTGTCCAATTATATTTTTGGAATCAAAATGGAAGCGCAACTTCAGATTCCCATTGCTTTCATTTCCGAACACGAATCGCAAGGCACAATATAGATGACGAATAAACCGGCCGTTACGTCATAGCGGAAACACGTCCCCATTGGCCGGCCATGGAAACAGCAGAAACTCGAGTCCGTTGACAGTCCATTGTTAACGGTGGTGGAGAACGGACGAATTGGCGAGTTCTGCGTTTTCTGTTTGATTCTGGTGTTTTTCCGCTTGTGTGATGGGGGCATCGTTTTAATTGCGTGACAGTTATGATTTCTGGAAATATACTATATGCAAGTGTGCAAAAATATACTTAAATATGCTAATGGATAATACTGGAATATCATCAATTTTCGGGTAAGCGAAAAATTTCTGAAGGGAAATATTAAATAATCAAGGAAATTTCAATAAAACATTAGATTTTTTTTTTGTGTTCTGAAGTTAGCGGATACGTATTATATTCGGAATTTTTGTTTTAAAAATTGACTCCGGTAAGTGAAATTTAACTTTTTTTCCAAGCCCTGACTGTACCATAGACGTTTTGTGATTTTAAATCCTGCTATTAGAAGAAACTGGAAAAAAAAAATCAACATCGCAAATAGAAAGGTAAGTTTGAATCAAAAAAAATATTAGATTATCTTTTCTGAATGATCAATAATTATGAAATTAATTTTAATTACATTCTGTTGAATATTGTAAACAAAATTACTTTGAACTTAGGAAAGTAAACATTCGTATTTAACTTGTAGCATTTTAGTTTGATTAATTAATTTTACCATGCACCAGTTCAAAAATTAAAGGTCAAAGTATTTGGACTTCTAATTTGGAACTAATAAATGCAGGGTAAGTTAGCCTGGCAATTTATTTGCTGCTAATTGCTGTAATTTCCTATTGTTTTGAAAAACAAAAAGAAGCTATAGAGGTAAGAATTTTCCAAATAGTTAAGAATACTACAATCTATTACTCTTTGTTTTTACAGTTAGCTCACCTAGGCTTATAGAAACGATCTATTTAAATTGAGCCAGTTCTACTTTATGTTCATTCAAATGCTTAAGTTGTGGATCAAAACAAACGCTCACCTTTGAAAATTTCAGTAAAAAATAGAGATAAAAAGAATTTAAATTGATCTTCTGAACTACTTAGTTATCACCTGACCTGCTTCATGCGTGTTACACTCAACGGAATAAAATTGTAAACATAGTTGTTAAAAACTTCGAGTAAACGCACTTGTTAAAGTATTTCATATTTTTAAAATCTTGATAGAAGAACAATGCTTATTATTAATCATTTAAGGAACATGCTTAATACATCATTTTCACATTTTTTTCAATCAAAATATTTTTAAGCGAAGTGGTTTCGTTAACTTAGGGCCCGAATGTTTCGCTTTAGTGATCATTAATTCAAGTTGCAGATTGCATCACGAATATGTTTTAAAACATATTTAACAGTGTCATACTTCATCTTGAGGACATAAATAGCAATAGTTAACTAATTTCTTTCGAAGAAAAAGGAAGAAATAACTGTAAGGCTAATACCGAAATAATTAAAACAAAAGAAGTAGTGAATATTGCATAATTTTGTGAAACAATAAGAAAACTAATTATCTCGTAATTTATGAAAATAACAAAAATGTGTTCTAATGTTTAGCAATATAATTCAAACCCAGTTAAACAAACAAATGTTTGCCAGTAACTGACGGAATAGAAATTATTGATTACAAACATTTTTGCTTTTCGTTTTACTAGAAAAGAACCTGATATGATGGTACTTTTCGAAATCTTGTTTTATGACGTAATAATATGAAATAGTATCCGCGTATGATATGTAACATGTTTTTATTTTTGAAATGCGCAAGGGTTAACATGAAACCCGTTTGGTTAGTAAAATTTTGAAAATTTAGATTCGAGTTTATGTATATATATATATATTTATTTTTAAGTACGATACGATAGTTTTTAAAGTATTGTATGTGCATCTCAATGATTTTTAAATAGCTCATCTCATAACGCAGTCTGCAAATTATTTATCTTGCGTAGCTAGTACTTAAGGTTGGGTTACAATTTTGCAAGTAGTTGTTCCATATAATTTTGTATTTTTACTAACATAAGTTACTAACACAAAAAAAAAAAAAAAAAAAAAAAATCGCATAAACCAGCTTTTTAAACGAGTTTCAGAAAATGCGACAAGTACTGAACTCTGCTTTCTCTTCGTTATAGACCTGCCGTCCTTAAACCTTCAAATTTCGAGTGCAGGTATCATCTCCAAAATCTGCAGTTTTAATTACTAGACTCATCTCTGCAGTAGGCCTTGACCGGCAATCGGAAAATAGACGTTGTTGATGGAAGGCAATTGTTATTAATAGCCCAGTTTGTTGAACCTGTGCGGTTCTAGCCTTCTAGGTATATACCTAAAGGGCCAGGTAGTGATACGGTAGGAGTGCACTGGTGCGGAAAGTTTTCGTGTTTAGCCAGTGGAGATTTGTTCGCGTGGTTCGAAATACCAGTGTTTCTTTTTCTCGCGTTTCGAGTTGATTTGTATGATAGACGCTTCAATGGCATGCGTGAAACAACTTGGTAAGAATTTTGATAGAAACAGAGTGATCAGTGCGTTCTCAAGATGTTAGTTACAGTAGTACCTCACTACTAAACTAAAATGACTGTAGTTAACAAATAGAGAAAGTACTTTTTCCTTTTCTATTTTGCTGTGGTCACCATTAGATGTAGGTTGCAGGCAGGCTTCTCGATTGATATCACCTCTTCAATATTTTCTTGTAATATGCAATAAAGCGAACAATTGCGCAAGAGTGTATAAGGGGGCTATGGACCCAAAAACAAAATTACACTTTTGTAGGCAATATTAAAATGTATAATCAGTTATTTATAGACGATATTAATAGTTTTATTTTATAAGCTCGCTTTTTTACTGTGAAGGTTTCTTTAATCGTTTACGGAAAGGCATGTGAGGGCTATCTCCATAAGTGGAAATAGCCCACCAGTGGCGGAACGGTCGCTGAACACTGGTAGTTTTTTCCGGCGCTCGAATCCAGGCAAAAAAGGCGGACCGTATGAGCATTTTTGTAGTTTTCTCCATTTGTAATGTGTATACGAGCCAATTGCCTTAGAAAGTCTTCCACGAAAACATAACTCCTCTGTGTCAGATAGCTCTCAAATGCTTTGTCATAATTAATTTAACTAACGTTAAGTGGAACGATGCCTTTTGGTTGGTTAAGACAGCTGAAATCTGGTACTTCGACCTCGGTCCAAACTCAAGAGAACGGGCTGGCTGCATAGTTGATTTTTCCCTTTGAGTAAAGATAATACGAGCTAGTATCCTTTAGAAAATCCTTAACGAAACCACAGGAGAACTGTCTAAGGGAAACAGGCGCGTATTAAATAGGGGGGGTATTAAACACTAAATGATGAAGATATCGGGATGTGCAAGGAAATAAACGTCGTTAGATAAAGCGTGATGCTGAAATCTACAGTAGCTTTACTATAACAACTAATGGTTGCTATAGTTCAGAAGTTTAATTTATTATGCATGAATTTAGGTACCTTTACTTCGCTGTCATCTGTCTGTTGATATATTCCCTTGCATGCGGAGCTTATTAGTCTTTAAATGGGCAAGATCGCTGAATAGTGATAGCTCAACCTGACTTTAATTTCCGATGATCGGACTAGCTGAGGTTTCGTGATATTCCTGTGAAAACGAGCCAGCGACAAAATTGTTAATTTCTTAAAACGCGGTTTATAGATTCATAAAACAATGAGCTTTCTAGATGATTCTAGCGGCCGAGTGATTAAAACCGTTGGATACTCATAGAATAGTTCGACCTGGTTTGGGTTCGTTCCGAGTCGAACGGGCTGACTGCATGGTTTATTATCATGGTTCTCCACAAGTGGAACCTGAAACGAGCCATTTTCCCTCGGAAAAATCCTCCACAAAGGTACCCCTTCTGCTACGCAGATGGCCCTGATGGCTTTGCCAAGTTCAAATAACCTAACTATTCCCAACTTTAGAAAGTTCTCCATGAAGGTATCCTCCTTAAGATAAACAGCACCGTACAATAAACAGTATCGTATTATTATCAATAAACTAAACCATTGTTTAGACCAGTGTGGTGCAACCTTTAGTTACCCGATGGCCAATGAAACGTTAGTATAGGAGAATGAGGGCCAAAGACATTAAAGAAACAAAATTAATTACATATAAATCACTAGTTTAATATACATTTAGGAATAAAAGAAATTGTCATCTGATGGACAGCTTTGCCAACATCGGCGGTTTCCCGCTAAATCTGCTACTTTGTATTCCCTGCAGCGCAGGTTCTCCAGCTAGTTCCCATCCCAGTGACTGTTTTACACTGCTTGTTTTTCACAAAGACAGTTTATTCTGTTTATTATTATTTAAAGCAGTAAGAAGGGCTTTTCTAAATGTTTAACTAACATTTTTGAATCCAGTAAGAAGGGCAAGTGCCAACAAAATGAATAAGAGAGCCGCATGCGGGCCGCGGGTTTGGACTACACTGGTTTAGACCATTCCTGAGATACAAGTACTTTATTTTTATTTCATATTTTGGGTTTTGAAAATTTTGGAAAAAAAAAAAAAAAAAAAGACAAGCTTTTTTAATTTCTACCAAAATGTTTAGAGCACTGTAGCGGTAAAACCCTCTTAGCGACAAAATTTAGGAGCTAAAAGATTGTACTAGTTGGCAGATAATTTAACGGCCCAACAGCGGCCGATCGGTAAAGTCGCTGAACACTGGTAGTTCGGTCAGAGGGTTCAAATCCCGCGAACGGGCTGGCTGCATGGGCGTTTTCGTGGTTTTCCCCATGTTTCCCTTAGAAAGTCCTCCACGAAGGCATCCCTCCCCTTAGGCAGATAGCCCTAGTGTGCTTTGCCATAATTAAATAAACCAAACCAAACCAGATAATTTAACATTGCCCCATGTTTATTTCGCTTAAGCGTTTTGTCTTTTCCTAGGTCCTAGCAACGAAGATCGAGCAAAACTAACTTTAAAATGGATTTTTTTTTATTTTTAAAAGGCTAGCCACATTAATTAGGAATGCAACAAATAGTTCATTATATTGCACTGCAAAGAGAATACCATACTTGGAATGCGGTCTAGGATTTTTTTCCATCACAAAAATTTTTCATGCGTTATTTACGTGACAAATTTTGCAGTCTGTTTTATCATTTTCCTCATGGCTACTGCAGCACGAAACGGGAATCGAATCCATTTTCTTTTAACGAAAATATAACCAGGGTATTGAATACTTCAGTGTTATCTAACTTACATGAGTTTAAAGGAAGTTGAAAGCCTCTATAAAACTGCATAGGGTTTCCTGTTGCGAGGA